CTTTCTCCTTGGTGCTAGTTGTGGTGATAGTTGTGTGGGGCACTGGTGCAAACCACAGCCTGTCACTGCCAGGACTTTGGAGAGAGCCTTGCCCTCTTCCCTTTCTGTGGTGTTATGTTTGTGGTATTTGGTGTTTGCTACATCTCTGAAGTGTGGTGAGAGGTGCTGGGGGGACTTCGAGGCCTATGGAATGCAGAAGAGGTGCTTTGTGAGTTCCCCTGGATTGAAGTCCTGTTTGATTGTCTTTGCAGAGGACTGCATGTGCAGAGGACTGTCCAACTTCTGTGTCTCTGTTATTGTACTCATTTGGTGCCTCACAGAGGTTGTTCTGATTTGATTGTTGAATAGATTTATTTATTGTTCAAGTCAATATTGCTAAATGCCACTTGATTTGCAAGGGAGGGATAGGCATACTTTAGTTTTATTTTTGTTTGGTAGTTACCAAAATGTCGAAATCTGAGATCAAGCCATATCTCCTTCAGCAAGCAACATGTGTCTAGCACCTGGGACAAACATCAAGTGATCAACCTCAGACAATAGAACATTTTCCTGAAATTAGCATTTGGTTCTTAGACCCATAGCCATTAATAACACCCACTCCTTATGCTCAGAATGCAAAATATGAGCTCCAGGAGAAATGATAATAAATGAGTCCAAATGAATTCTCCCCTACAGAAAATGATTTAATAAGTAAGGCTGCCCCATCAGATACTTCTCCAGGGAATGTGATGTAAGTGTAAGGTGAAGTACTATCACAAAAACTGTGTGTGCATACTCCTACCACATCTATTAGCCAGGGAAATATAAGTCAGGGTCAAGATGATCATACCCTTAAGCTGACATTACATATCATTTTGGCAGGAAGAACTGTTTCGTGTTTCTTGATCTCTCTGTAGATGTTAAAACAATCCTGCTGATGGTTGAGGACCTGTCCTGATACCTCCACTCACCTGGAACTGCCTCTGCTGCTTACTGCAGAAGGATGATACAAAGATCCAGACAAAGAGTAAGGAAAGGGATGCAACTCCTTATAATATGATGTGATTATTGACTATGGGAAAGTGTCCGGGGAACGAAAACAACACAGAAGGACAAAATGAGTGATGGTGCTGTGCATTCATGAACATTTTTCTCTCTTTCCAGAAGCTCAAGATCTTTGGGAAACTCCTGAGTGACAGAGGTAAGTGAAACTGCCAGTGGGTGGTGCATGGGCATCTCTAATCCTTGCAGATCCGAGCTGAGCACTGCTCTTACCCATCGCATGTATTCTATTTACATCACAGCAGAGGGAGCGTTGGCAAAGCATCTCAGAGGAGCAACCTTTTGTAATACCTACAGCTGCAACCGACACAGAAATAATCACAATAATAAGACTCACATAGTTAATTGATTGACCATTTTGCGACCATTGTAGCCAGCTTGGCCATAGCTGGGTTACTGCATCTTGTGTCCCCATGATTTCTTACAGGGGAAGAAACACCTGAAATACCTCAGGATATTTAGGATCTGTTCCCCTGGCTGCTTCTCTCAACAGTTCACTCCATTCTGGACTTTTTTAATATCTGCTAGAAGGCCATACCAATACGTTGATTTTTCTTGCGCTGTCCTCCATGCTCTGTGCTAAGGGACTATATTTGAAATCAGTGAGTGAGCTCTGTGTTAAGAAATAGCTCTGGCACTAAAATGCTTAAAATTCCTCTTTGTTTCTCTGACTTCTCTCCTAATTTGGATTATCCCCCCCAGACTTGCCCACAAGATGGAATACTAAGAAAATATTGTTTTGTTTAATTTATTTTTTGATGTCCACATTTCTCACATTTCCTCTTCCAATTTCAAAGTGAGTCTGAGCTCCTCCACTAACATTGCTTCAGCTGTTATTTTGGGGATCTGAGAGAGGGGATTAAAAATAAACGAAGTGCGGGTAATGCGTTTCTTGTCACAGATTCTCTTAGGCAAGTCAGTAAGAAGTTATCGGCATTCGTTTCTTTTCGGGTTAAACAGAGGGATTAGATGAAGGGTATTACTTAACACAGGTCAAGGTATTAAAATATGGATGCCTAAATTTAGGCTCCTAATTTTGTATATTGAACCCCTAAATAAGGCTTGATCTTATGCTCTTTGAAGTCAATGCCAAAGCATTGACTGAGTTCAATCTGCAAGATGAAGTCCTAAATTATTCTTAAAAGTTCTCAGCATCTCACAGCTCCAAATAAGTCATTACCCTGCCTCTGCAAATCACATGTCTTTCCTTAAGTTCCTAAACATGGGGATCATGCTTTTAGGTATTCCGTATTTAAAATTCTGCCTGTGGATGCTTTCTGTCTCAGGAGCCATGGACATGGGAACGTAAAAAGGCTAATAAAGAAGCATAGCTGGGACACAGATAGATCTGCTTTTTTGGTGAGCAGTGCTTAGCTCAAACACTGAAGATTCTATAGCACTGTCAGTATTTATTATGGTGTAAAGTTAACATAGAAGGCACATGAATGTCCTTGCTGGTGCCAGAATTCAGCCAGTACATGACCATTTGCACAAACTTCGCATACACTGCTCTCCTGGTAACAGGATGTTGGCAGATCACAGATACAGATGAAATATAAAACGAGATAAGCAATCCTGTGGTGGTAATTTTAGAAGCTGGGTTCTGTACATTATTTACAGTACATTGTAGCTTTACAGGGATAAGACTGCCCCTTCCCACTCATGGATTTAATGTCTTCTGTGAGGTTTCTGTGGGGGACTTCCCTCAAAGCAGCAGCTGGAGGGATCTTGTCCATCCAGAGGAGTGTTAGACTTGGAAGTTATTTGCAGTAGAGCTACTTTCATTCATAGAACATTCATCTAGCACAAGGAGAAAAGGCACCTAAGACCTTCCACCAAATAAAAGGATTGAGTGAGTTAATCTGCTTGCTGCTGGTCTGAAGTGCAGAGACCTGGCATAAAGACGGAACTGTTCACAGTGAACTGGGACAGAGTCAAAGTGGTTCCTGCCTCTGGGAAATTTAAATTTGCTTTACCTTCGGTTAATGAAACATCCCCTCTTTTTCCTGGGGGAGGTTGAATTCTCCCTGTCTCTTAGAAGGCACTTTTGGCAATTGTATCCTGAATATGGGGAACTCTGGTTATTTTGGATGAGTATTTGTTTCTTCAGAAACCCTCTGCAACAATTTGTAAAAAAAATTACAGAAAAAGCAAAGGAAAAGGGATTATTTTGCAGTGTTTGAATAACACCCACCACTCCACTGTAGGAACATGATCCTTGAGGAAAAAGGGTTTATACTCTCCTTCAGGCTTTCAATTGGGCTGGATTTCTATCCTTGCCCAGATGGAAGGCTGTGGGTACAAGGGGTGTGGGGGTGTGACCTGTAGCTGGGGCAGTGGAGGGGCCAGATGGGAGCTGCTCCTTGCTCAGACAGACCTGTCACTCATCTCCCAGCCTTCCTCAGGATCAGTGTGACCAGGGCAACATCCCCACATACTGCACCAAGGGGTGGCACAAAATCTTTGAAAATTAAACAAAGAGACAAACAGCTCCAAGATCTACTGAAAGCAAAGATTTTCTTTTTTTTTTTTTTTTTTTTTTGGGGGGGGGGGGGGGGTTAGGGTTAGGGTTAGGGTTAGGGTTAGGGTTAGGGTTAGGGTTAGGGTTAGGGTTAGGGTTAGGGTTAGGGTTAGGGTTAGGGTTAGGGTGGTTTTTTGGGGGGGGGTGAGGGGGTGGGGGGGGTGGGGTTGCTTCATGTGTTTCTCTCAGCCAGCAGGTGCCTCTATAGAGCCAATGTTTTACCTGTATCACGATGAGTCCGTGGCACAGCATTGAAATACCTGCTTTTAAATGACAATATAGCCTTTTCTTTCTTCTGTGTCTTTTCCCCCTACCCTTTCCTCAAGCCCATAGTGAGCCCGGGGATCTGCCAGTCTGGACTTCCACTCCATCTGCCGCATGAGGTCCTCGGAGGATGAAAGCAGGAGAAAGATGTATGTTGACACACACATATTGTTACTATGTATGCCGTATGAAGAAATATTCTGTGTGACAGGAACCAAGTAGCTCAGATGGGGAATGCCTGCACCAAACACAGCGAGACAAGGCTGCTTCCTTGCCCTTCCAATACCTCCTCAGAAAGCACGGTGGGGTTTGTCTGGCAGAACCTCCACTCCGTTAGTATGACACCCGGGCAGCACTCAGCCAGCACAGGCAGGCCCCGGAGGCACAGGAGAATACCACTGGGTTAAAATAAATAAAACCCACCTGAGGATAACGCTCCTTCAGCCCTTTAACACATGGGTGCTAAGAAATCCCTGTATCTCAAAAGCCACGTCCTGGGGGGTGGTCAGATGATGGGTGTAATTACAGTTTGTCCCCCGCCACCCCTCTCCCCAAATGGCTCTGCTGGACTTTGGAACAATTCCCACGGGCAAAGTGAATTTTGACCCGAACACGTATCCATCGGCGTAACAGCGCGGCGAGAAAGCAGGGCAGGGAGCTGGGTTCGAAATGCACGAGCCGCGGGGCTACGGCTCTGGCGTACAGAACCGCGGGGCTACGGCTTGGAGGGCGGGGAGGAGGCCGGGCCATCACGGAGGAGGTGGGACTTGCCGGAGCCTCTCTCCCCGTGGCCGCTCCGATCAGTTGCAGAGTGCTGACGAGCGGCGGGCGGCGGGGCGGGCGCTGCGCGGAACCGCCGCTGGAGTGCGCGGAGCGGGGCTGCCGCCGCGCCGGGGGCGAGGAGCGCACGCCGCGCCGGCGGGAGACAGCGCGCCACGGGAGCAGCCTTCCCCGGGCAGCGGGACCTGCTGTTAGCTTGCCGCCTTGCTTTATCCTCTCGTTTAATTTATTTTTTCTCCACCTATACTTTGATCCGCTGGGATTTTTTTTTTTCCTCCCTTCCCTACAGAGCCTTCCCACGCCCCAGTTCCCTCCCTCTCTATCCAGCTTGGATTTTTTTCCTTTTTTTTTTTTTTTTTTTTTTTTTTTTTTTATTTTTTTTTTTTTTTTTTTTTAAAAGCGGTGGACAGAGAGAGGGAGAGACAGTAACGGATAGGACACGAGGAAAACGCTCTGTTCGTCCTTTCCGCCACCACCACCCCGATTTGCGGAGAGGGGTCGGGCCGAGCGGCGGCGGCATCAGCCCTTTTCTCCAAGGAGGCGACCCCGGCTCGGGGAGCCGCCGGAGGCAGCCGCCGCGAAGAGAGGGCGCAGGAAAAGAGATGCACTGAAAGTTTCCGCGCAAACTTTGCTGTGAGTGCGCGAAACCGAGCGAGCGTGGCGCGGGTGCCTGCCTGCCCCGACGCGGAGAGAGCGTCGCGGACGGGCGCCGCTGTGGAGCTCGGACTGCCCGGCGGAGGGGGCCGGGCGGCGGCAGGGCGGCCGCGGAGCCTGCGCTCGGCCCGGCGGAGCGCCCAGGGAAAGCAGGAGCAGGGGCCGGCGGAGAGCCGGGCTTATGGAGGGGTGAAACCGGAGACCCCGAAGAGGAACCCCCCTTACCCCGCAACCTTTCGCAGCGCCCGATCGGCGGCACTCCAGGAGGCGGCGGCGGGCACGGAGGAGACGCGGGCGAGACCGCGGCGGGGCGGCGGCGGCGGCGGCAGCGGGGCGGTGGCGAGGCGGAGCACGGCGGGCCCCGCTTCGCGGCGTGCGCCGGCAACCATGAACTTTCTGCTCACTTGGATCCGCTGGGGGCTGGCGGCGCTGCTCTATCTGCAGAGCGCGGAGGTAAGCGGCAGGACGGGGGCTTTTGTGCCCCGCGTAGCGGAGGGGAAGGGAAAACAGACGGCCGACAATACTTCCCCCCCCCCCCCTTTTTTTTCTTTTTTTTTTTTTTTTGTTTGTTTTGTTTTGGTTTTGTTTTGGTTTATTTGTTTTGTTTTGTTTTCTCGCGCTCCCCCTTTGCCTCCCACCTGCTCGGTGCGGTGCGGCCGCGCCGCTGGCGCCGAATATGGGTGGGTGCCCGCAGCACAGAGACGTGTGCGTGCGTGCGTGCGGTGCTGCAGCGGGGGGACAGCGCTGCCCGGAGCTCCGCGGGGCCCCGGGGCAGCGGCAGCACCTTGCGGAGTGCCTGCGCACATGAGCGTGCCCCGACGCGGGGCTCCCGGCGCGGCGCGGCCGTGAGGTCCCGCCGGGGCGCGGGGCAGGGAAGGCAGCACGCTGCCTTCTTGCATCAGCCTCGGGTCTCCTGACATTGCAAAAGGCTGCTTCGGCGATATTTGCCTTGGGTCCCAGCTCGGGTTCGTGCCGCCGTGTGGAGTTCAGAATGCCTAGCTGGAAAAACAAATAAGAGATCAAAGAGGACAAAATGGATCCAGAATTTCTTCCAGATTGGAAAAAAAAAAAATCAAAATATAGATCTCCTGCACCGAGATTACAAAACCAAGGATTTTTCTCTTCCTCTTCAGTCACTTTTACCTCATTGTCATTCTTGGGGAATTAGAAACCAACTCTTCCTCCTTTCCTTTTTTTAAAGAAAAAAGGACAGCTTTCTTTGCAAACCTGTGTTATAAATCTGTTTTCAAAAGAGTCAAGAGGGCTGTGTTGCCAAGAGATATTAAGGGGTTTAGACGGAGTGCCCACGTGAAAGTGGCTGTTCGCGAGGCAGGCATGGATTACGTTTTAAAGGTTTTAACAGGTTAGTTTGCTCCTGCCATTTTTGCTCGGCACTTGGAGAGCACGGGCCAGATCATCTCCCACAGTTGTGAAAATAAACGTTGCTTGCAAACTAATCAGTTATTCACATTGTTTGTTCAGCACCAATGCTGGAAGGCAACTCCCCAATTAGGAGCCATTTCAGCTGTAACTGAAGTCATGCAAGCACTGCACGCTTTGTTTCTAGCCTGTTATATCTCTACTTTATCCAGTGACAGCCGCACATTAGGCTGTGCTCGGCTGTGCTCTATGGGAACTGAGGCGCACTCTCACTTGAGTGTGGCACAGAGCAGCTCCCTGCTGTCTTCCTGCCAGGTTTGGCTGGTGGGACAATTGTTTCTGCTCTCCAGGAGTTTTTCCACTGTCACCCAGAGTAGGAGTTTCTTTGCCTCTCAGCTCCTCAGTAAAATTGTTCAATAGCGTCTGTTCCCCACCTATAGTATAGACAACTCTGTATTGGTGTCCAGTGATAACACCCTTTAACCCTCCCCTTGTTCCTTTTCCCCTCCCCTTCCTCTTCCCCAGAAGAGGAAACGGTGGATCAGGTAGAGCCGAGATCTATCTCTCCTCGTAAAAGCCTCATGCTGCCTTTCTCCTAGGCTGGAGGGTGGTGCAGATGAGAAAACAATATAATGATGGAAAAATATGGTAGGGAAGAATTACAGGAGTTTGAGGGGAAATGTTGCAGGGACAGACACAAGAGATAGCTAGAGGTTCAGGTACCTGGGTGATGTGGGCTATATAAGTGCTCAGGCAGATAGACGGTGAGCTCTGCCCTTTGGTTCTGTCCTTATTTGTCCGTTGGTTGTTCGGGCACCACAGTGATGGGAGCGTTAGAAATGCCAGCAGATCTCACGTAGGCAGCTTGGTGATCACTCTGAGCATGGCAGAGGCATGACTTCACACAGGACTAGGGTTTGTGCTTTGATGATAATATTTATCTGGCTGTCAGGCTGATCTATCTAGCTAGGCAGGCACATTAGAGAGCATTAAATAAAAGCCCTGACAGAGTCTGAGTTGGGGAAGCAGGGTCCAGCATGTGTCAGGCAGCTTTCCTGGAAGTGAAGGAGAAGGGATGAAGGAATCATGGCACTCCTCCACTGCGAGTAAAGAGTCATCCCTTCAGGGGGATGACTCCTTACAGAGGTAGGTGTTATGGTTGCTCTTGCAGCAAGACTTAGATGGTGGGAAGTTGTTTCATGGTCGTGTCTGGGCAGCACTAAAGCCACAAGTGTCTGCCTCCACTGGTGGTGATAGCTTTTCCATGCAGGTGAGGGCAGGAAAGGCACTTTTGCAGTGCCACCCTCCCAGCTGATTGTGCTGAGCGGTGTGCACAGTTCCTCACACACCACGGGATTGGAGAGGTTGCATTGTTGGTCCCCTTCCGGTTCTCTCTTTCCTAGAGAATGGGGGACAGGTGGTTATTCCCCATCTTCCTTCATCTGTGGGTCTTGCTGCCAGCCTGGTGACAGGTCACTCCTGATGATGGTCTGGGAGCTCTTCTCCTCCTGCCCAGAACAGAGAGACCTGGATATACCAGATGTATTGCCATAGGGAAGAGGCAGTGATCACACACTGAGGGAGGGAGAACAAGCCTGTGACTAGACTGTTAATGATCGCATACCCACCAGGCTGCCTGCCTTTGCTGTGCCTCTGCACCACACCACGATGGAGAGCCACCAGAACCTGCTTCCACAGCCTTTAGGCAGCTGGGACACAGCAGGTCACCTTCCCCAGAGCCGTTCCTGTGCTCTGAGGATGGGCTGGAAAAAGGAGCACTCCTTTGGGAACAGGGGAGAAGGATGTCGGAGGGGCTCACTGATTCCTGAGCAACCCCAAATCCATTCTCCTGTCTCTTCTGTCAGAAGTCCCTTGGCTGTGCTGGCAGCTTGCAGGATTACTGACCTCTGTTAGCTTGTACAATGGAGAAGTAGTGCAGTGAGTCCCATTCCCCCCACGCCCCCCCCCTGCTTCCTAAGCAGAAAACGCTGAGAATTTCTAGTGCCTAAGACGAAAAGTGCCTTAACTCCTGTCCCAGAGTCCCTCTCAAAGTGGATGGATTGTTTGTTCCAGTCCTAAACAGTTACAAAGCTCTTTTAATGAGCCTGCACAGATTAGGGGGAGGGGAAGGGAGAGAAAGAGTGCTGGTGGTGGTGGTGGTGAGGGGGGTGATGGTTAGAGAGGAATGACTTCATTAACCTTTTCTCTCCCTTCAGAGAAGAGCTTCCTTTGGACAGGGACTGGGGGAGAAGGAAGGCAGGGAAGGTACAGACGTGGATGGTGGGAAGTGGGTTTATTTGTTAGAGAAGGTTTTACCCCACAGAGGGAGGGATGTGCATTTGCTACAACCTGCAAAGAGCGCAGAAAGGAGCTTCGTCTGTCAGTCCCATTCCTGGGCTCATTTATCCTACTCTCAAGGCCAGGCCATGGGTTGCTTCCACACTACTGTGAAATGTTGAAAATCTATTGAAAGGAAATTGTGTTACAGAACTGTTGGGTAATGCCAAAAGCCAGCAGAGGAGAGCATGACCTTCAGGCTCCTAATGAAGGGCACAGTTGGCCCGCTTGTCCTGAGGAATGTTTTTGGTTCCCCATGTCTGATACATAGCAGACTCTTTTGAAGTGAGGCACAAGACCCTGCCTCACCTGCTGTTCCAGTGGACATGCTTTGAGGGCTCTAGCCACAGGTGAAAGACACTGCTGAAAGGGCAGAAAAGTTTCTTGAAATAGTGAGCAGAGAGCCTGTTACTGATAGTTCTGGGAAACCTTTCTAGTTTCTGCTGAGAGCTCCCCTGGGAAAGCTCCAAAGCTCTTTGCCCAATTTGCACTGATCTCGTTTCCCATCTTTGGGGTCAGATCACATCCCAGGTTCAGGTGAGCACTGCGAGAGTATTCTGGCTCCTGCTCTACTACATCAGGGGCAGGACAAGGTGCTGGCTTGGCGCAGGTGAGTAGCGAAAGCATGTGTGTGGCCTGCTTCTGCTTCTCATCACTTGTGCAGCCTGTGTGCTTGCACATGAGGAGGCAGTGGGCTTGGCAGCTGGCTGGGTAGCTTTGCATAGAGAATGGGTTAAAATGACCCTTAAGGTACCCCCAAGCTAATTTTGCTCAGTCTGTCGTGGTCATTTTGTGTATGAACCAGAAATTCGTCTGTGAAAAGTCTTGGGGGCATTGTGATTTGAATAAGCTGACTTGGCTCGTGATCCTCTTCCTGTGCCATAGCAGATTCAGACTTTTCTGTCCTTGATGCAGTTTTCTTTTTACCCATAGATTGTCAGGCACTGAGTGGCTTTGGAAGGCTGCTGCAGCCTCCGCTGCCTCCATTTTGTTTGTGCTGTTGCAGTGACCTTCACACTTCAGGAATGAAACTGTTTCTAGGAACCTGTTTTTTAAAGTGTTGTCACAGCACTGAGACTGGGACACAGCCCCCTTCCTCCCCAGAGAAGAAACAGATCCACACATGGGGCAGCTCAGGTCTGGGCTGCTAAGTTATGCCCAGGTATAGAAAGACTTTGATTGAAATGAGAAAAAAGTTCGGTCAGGGGGACCTTAGACAAAGGGAACTATGCACAGACACAAAAGAATGTCTGGTAGAGGGGCTTCTAGCTGGCTCTCTTGCCCCTTCCTTTTAAAAGCTGACATTTTCAGCTGCTTGGATGATGGTGCTGCCCTGTGTACAGGACTGCTTAGAAGACCATAGGTGGCAGATTCCTGTTCTGAGCTTGGGGTGGAGTTGGCCTTAATTCAGTTCTGTCTTCAGCTACTAGATCAGAGAGCCTTTTTCTAAGCCTGAACACAGCACATGCTGACGAAGCAGTATTTTGTATGGATCCCCATGCTTCTTATGGGCTTCTGCTGAAAGGCAGCAGGTTCTGGGGTGGATGGCATCACACAGGTGGCAACATAACTTGGAGAAGTGAAAAAAGTTTGGCTTTTTCCATTTTGGTTCAGAACAGAACAGCAGGGGGAAGCCTGACTTGGCTGGAAAGTTACGTCAGATCTAAAGCCCTCACGAAGAGCAGGAAGAGTGGCATTATTGTTTCACCTGGAATTAAAAAGACTTCCTTAGTAAAGTGGTGTAATATTTCTCCATACCATTTTGGGGGTGGGTTACCTGTCACCACTCCTATCTGCTTCAGTGCTTTGGAAACGTCCCTATTCCCAAAAGGCGGCAGGAGTGACTGCAGAGCTTGCAGCCTTTTCGGTTTTGGGCCAGGGGAATCTGTGGAGCGCAGGAATGGGATCTACGCAGGGGCTGGGGACTGAGACCACTAAGGTGAGGGCGTGCTCGCCCTCCCTTCCATCAGAAGAAGAAAACCCGGGCGGTTTGGCGGCGTCCGTCGGCAAAGTGGTGCTGTCACAGCTAATCGCCCTGACACCCGGCCAGATGCCGACACCTCCGTGGCCACCACTGCTGGGTGACAGACATCTGTGACACTGAGAGGGGAGCGATGCTCTTCCGTGCCTGGCCGCCCTTCTTCCCCCTCTGCCCTCCCGGGCCAGATTCGCCTTTACGGGGAGAAGCGGTGCCCGGGTCCGCCGGTCGTGTCGGCAGCGGCAGCAGCAGGTCTCCCCGTTACTTCTCTCGGCCGGGCTCGCGTTTGCTCCGGGTGTTTGCCCGCGGCCACTGGCAGCAGCTCCCCGGGGACGCGTCTCTCCCTTTGGGGCGTCTCTCGGGCCCGGCACACCGCCTTGCCAGCCCCGTCCCCAGGCCGGACCGTCCCGCCCGTGCCCCTCTCGGCTGCCCCGGGGACAGGGGAACAAAAGGCTCCTCTGTGCCCGCCGGGGAGGCCGGCGGGGAGCGGCTGGGCCGCGGGGCGCCCCCTCCCGCCGGGGCTCCCTCCGCCCCCTGCCCAGCGCAGCGACGGGACCGGGACCACCGGGGGTCCCTGCCCGGGACCCCCCGCGCCGCGGGACCGCCTCACGTTTCCGTGTTGTGACTGATTTTCTGTTGTCTTTGCAGTTGTCGAAGGCTGCGCCCGCCCTGGGGGATGGGGAGCGGAAACCCAATGAAGGTAAGCGCTGGGCGGCTTCCCGGTGGCTGGGGGGAAGGAGCCCCCGGAGTCGCCGGCGGTCAACACCGCCACCTCCCGGGGAGCGGGACCGGGGGCTGCCGCGGGAGGCGCCGCCGCCATCAGCCCTTTCGTGGCGGCCGCGGCGCCCCCGCCCCGCGCCGCGGGCCTGGGCCGGGCCGTGGGGCCGGGGGCGGCCGCGGGGCAGGGCTCGGGGCGGCCGCGGTGCCAGGGCGGCAGCAGGGCTGGCCCAGCCCGCCCCTGGCTTACCACAGCGCGAGTGAAACTGCGTGCGTGCGCTGCTGCACATACGCACGCTCGCTTATATTTACATACATATATATATATATATATATGTATGTATCTGAACACAGACGGGCGCACACAAAGAGCTGCGGAGCGCCGAGCAGTTTACTGGGGATTCGCCATAGTGCTGTAGGAAGGAATTTGTCAAATTTTGCTCCCCGCCTCTTTCCCAGCGGTGCTGGTGGTGCCCGGCTGGGGTCAGGGCTGATCCCTGAACAAAGGCCGGAGCAGCCCCCAGACGGCAGGTCTCTCAGGAAGAGAAGGAGAAAGGGGAAGTCCAGGATGATTTTCTGGGCTCATGCCTCTCAGCAGTCTCGGGTACCCCCACAGTCTGGAAATTTCTAAGCACTGTAAAGAGCCAGGCTTGAAAAATACACCTTTTTATTCTGGTTTGGCCTAGCAGACTTTGAGCATTCAGGGAATGGCACTCTAGGGTTCTGATAGGTTCTGATGTGTTCTACTAACTGGTTCCTGGTTGTCCAGTATGGAGAGGACCATTGCCTGTCAAGGAAACAAGGTGGTGTCTCTACAGCTCCTGTGATCTTGTGTCTTTCCTGTTGCCCAAAGGCCAGGGTGTGACAGTGTCCCCTGCCTCGTTGCTTCATGCAACTAAATGTAGACCAGAAGGGCAGTCAGCCCCTGGCTTAGTCAAAGATGTCTCCTGTGAGCTCCCTCTCTAGTGAAGGAAGCCCTGTGCATGTCAGGAGGTTGGCTTCTGTCTGCAGTCCTCAGTTCAGCAGTGGGGTAAAAGGGCTGTGAACTTTGAAACCTTCAGCCTGAGGTGATCATCGCCTGCTTTAAGACCATCCTGGCCATGTTTTCCCCTTACCTGCATAGCAGAGCAGATCACTTGTTGCATGGCAGAGTCTGGCAGAGTCTTGCAAGGTCCCCATGGACTGTGACCTTCAGCGTTATTCCAGCCAGAGGTCAGCAGAGGGCTCCAGCACTGTAGGCCCAGACTGGCTTTTTTTTTTTTTTTTCCGTATAAGTCAGTTTCAATTTCTGTAACTTTATTGGTGTGACAGAATCTATGTGTGTTGCCAGAGGTTTGTGGCAGGCTGTGTTTGGGATAGGTGTCCATTTTGTGCTAGCAAAATTTCTGATTTGCTGGTGGGCTGCCGCCAGTTGTGCTTGACCCTTGCTCCTGCTGAAGTCAACAGAAGAAGGTTCAGTGACTCCAGAGGGATCAAGATGGAGCCTGCTGTGAGGCTTATTTTGGTAACCAGTTCTCTGCTGTTGGTAGAATAGAGCTAGTGTCCTCACCTGTGCCATTTGTTGTGCCCAACAAATCCCTCCTGGGGAGGGAAAGAATGAAACAGAGTTAACTTCTGTCACAAGAAGGCTGATGGGATTGCAGAAGCTGGTCTGGCAATATAAGTGGTGAAACTTCAGTGTTATTGTCCTGGTACTATTACAGGTTCTGCGATGCAGATACAATTGTGAAGTAGAAGTCAGGACTCCTGGCTCTACTTCTGTCCTGTGGTTTGAACTTAGAGGCCCTCTCTCTATACCTCAGTTTCTCCTCTGTGAAGAGATGATGACAGGCCTCTGTTACCCAAGGACAGTCCTGTAGTTCCTTCCTCTGAACCTCTTAGGGGCTTGGGCTGAAAGGTGGGTTTGTGTCTTTGGCCATTTTATGCTTTCTCTGAGATGACAGGTTTCTATTTGGGATGAACTTACTCTGGTCAGAGATTGTTATTTTAGCTTCAGCCCCTACCCTTTTGAGCTCAGAGAGGCTTCCACATGTTTTGTGGCACGGGAAGTTGTAGAAGAGTCAGACAAACACTCTTTGTTTCACAGGAAAAGATTTTCTGGTATAAATAAAGGAAACCACCAACACTTGTGGCTGCACTTTTATTTTCAAAATAACAGTGTGTCTGTATTGCTGCTAAGCCATTCATGGGGAGGGAGACAAAATGATCAGAGGCTCTTCTAGTCCAGCATGTTCTTGCTCAGCTGCTCCAAATTTGAATTTAAGCTCTGCCTTGAAGAGTTAATGTGGGTCCTGTCTGCGTTTTAACCTTCCTTCCCCCTCCATTCACAGCGAAGAACCTCCGACTCAAATCTGGAGGTGTTTTGCAGGGTAGGAGTGTGATTTAATTGTGGGATTAACTTCTAATGTGAGCTGAAGCCCAGTTTTCAGGAAGGGAGCAGACCTAGTGGTGTTAGTCCTTCGGTGACCTTCTTGTGCTTCCCCATGAAAGAGATCTTCTTCCATTTGTGACACAACCAATGGAAAGGAAGCACAGGCAGAATCAACCCAGCAAAGTGTGCAATATAACTTCCAGTACATGGGAATAAATGTAGGTATGGTAGAAGGAGCAGGGCTTTGCTATGAGGTTGACTGTACCTCAGTCATGTGCTTCGGTTTGGTTTGTGTGGTAGCTGTGCAAATGAACTACAGAGTGTTGCACAGTCTCCATGTGAATTCTCTGTGTCCAGCAAAATAAGGCAATGTGCCTTTTGTGGCAGCTAGGGGAGGATTCCCTGGTTCCTTTTCAGAGGCCGATTCAGACTTTGGAAAACCTTCATGTGTTAAAGTAAAGGTAGAAACTCCCAAATTCTTCATGTGAAGGATTTAGTCCTGTCGTATCTCTCAGATCTCAAGTATAGTTGTCAGGGTGCAGCTGTGGAAGTAAAAGGCCTGCAAAAGAAGTTGAATGTGCTGTTCTGGGACCAGTCTGTAGTCTGGTTTCTCTGGTGTAATCCAAATGTCTGAATAGTGCAAATATTTAGGAAAGCATGACAGAACACCAGTCAGTTTCACTTCACTTTTCTACTCTTGTTTTCTGCCTCCTTTATGCCCCAGACTGATGTGGCATTTGATCTGCACAGGTAACTGGTTCTTTCCCTCCCTCTTACATTCTGTCCCTCCCCTTGACATATGTCTGTAAGCATTTTTATCCTGAACTATGCCTTTACTGCCAGAGTTCTCAGATCCTGTGTCTGGCACAGTGTGAATAATCAACAGTGCAGTTCAGTGACTGTCTTTGTGCCCGCAGAATTTCCCACGTATTAAATTGTTCAACTTGTTGGAACATAGGTGGTGACTAAGGTCACTCCAAAGGGGAACAGGAAGAAGGAGGTAGTCACAGACAAGATAGGAGAACAGACAGGAGACATACAGCAGTTAGGGGAGGAGGGAAGAGGAAGGGAAGAACAAGGAACAGAAATGTTGTCTTCTAGACAAGGAATACCAACAAGCAGTCCATGCCTGCCAGGCTACATTTCGCTTTCACAAGCCACTTTCTCTTTTAATAGCTGCTCACGCTCTCTGACACTTCAAGCTCCTTGGAGGGAAGCTCCTCCCCTCTTGTACCTGCTCTCAGGACTTCAGCACTATGACACTGTCAGCCCCGCATGACCTAGAATTAACTTTCAACAATTAACTGCGGGCTGTGAGCTCCAAGCCCTGCAGCTTTTGCATTTTTGTGGCAAAGTAACCTTTATGCCAGTTTGTCACAAGATCAGGGCACTTCAGAAGCACTTACTGGAGACCATTATTTTCCATGATGCAAGCAGTTTCCTCTTATCAGTCTGAGTTATCAACCTGGTGCTGGAGGACTCTGCATACTGTACAGGTGGATCATTATGGTGCATAACAGCATGGGACAGGTACTGTCTCCTTGGGCATACTCTTACCCTGCGCTCCATGTGAGACATCCTTTGTTGCCAGTGTGGTGCTAGAGCTAGGAGGCCTGGAGGGCTCCAGGTACTCACTGCCACACTATGCTAAGCATCTGGGGTTTGTGTGTGTGTACTTACCTATACTATCTCTCATCTCTTTAAATCTCTCCAACCCTTGACCAAGCAGCAAAATGAAGCTTTGGCAAGAGAGTGGGAAACATTGAGAAACACTTGTGAAATCAGTGCAGATCGCAAGCAGTTAGTGTTTGCTCCATTCGTAGGGAAGGCTTGGGATAATGGCAGATCCACCCTGTTCCCCCTCCCACACTGTCTCATTGTAGTTCAGTAGGCAAATATATAGTCTGGCTAGTCCTGGGGGTGCTGTGAGCCTACTTTGAATCTTCCAGTGGGTGGCTTGGTTCCTGGGTCTGAGAAGGTGGTCAGTGTGGGGACATGGAGGCCGTGACTTGTAGTGGATACTGTCATGGTTCCATGGTGACCTGCTGAGGAAGATGTTCTGCATGGCCAAAAGCGGTAGATGACAGGGAGGGTGAAGATGCATGGCTCCATAGTTCAGAGCCTCTGCTTGCTCTTAGAAGTGTCTGTGTGCTGAGGTCTGTACAAAGGATGCTTCTGGCTTTAAAACTGCTGGGGCATCCACTGACTGTTTTGAAAGGGAGTAAAGGGCAAACCAGTGAAGGGCCTTAGTCCAGAATGCAGATTATCTGCTGCAGCTTCAGGTTTTTTCTGGCTGAGCTGATATTCTTAGTGGCAGCATACCAGGAGTATGGGGAAAAACAGAGAAGATATATGGGGAAGAGTCACCTGCGGCATACATCATGGTACCAGGAAGGCAAACAGTGAGGCTCTCTTGTCCATTTTGCCTTTGCCCTGAAGCAGCTGTAGGAGGAGATTGTCTTTCTCCCTTCTCACTTGATGTGTGTGTATGTAGAGCACAGACAATGGATTTAGGCCTGCAAGACTATTAGTGAAGAGCATAGGGTAGTTGTGTTGCAACTGTCTGGCTCACTTTAAGGGGTGAAGCACTAGACATTCTTGTGCTAAGTTTGCATTAACTTATTCCCTCCATTCCTCTTTTAGTTATCAAATTCCTGGAAGTCTATGAGCGCAGCTTCTGCAGGACTATTGAGACCCTGGTGGACATTTTCCAGGAGTACCCCGATGAAGTGGAGTACATATTCAAGCCATCCTGTGTGCCTCTGATGAGATGTGCGGGTTGCTGCGGCGATGAAGGCCTAGAATGTGTCCCTGTGGATGTGTACAACGTCACAATGGAGGTGAGGGTCCAGCTTGCAATCTGCCACGCTTTGCTGGAAGGAAGCAAAACAGCCATCACAGCCGCTCCAAGTCCCAGATCCCAGCTAATTGGAAGTGCACCTACCCCAGGGAACCTCTTTTCTGACTCTGGTGCTCTGTGTTACACCACGCAGGGTTAAAAAATGAGTTGCCTATGTCTATTTAAGGCTACAAGGAGAGTCTGTTTTTTGGCTCCTGCCCAAATACAGTAGGTAGGAGCATGCAAAGGAGCACTTTATGTTTAGAGAATGCAAAGGAACATTTCTGATGGTACTGTCTCCCAGTTCCCAAAGAAGATATTCCTTGGGCCCTTGCAGCACCTGAACTCTACACACAGCTGTTGTTCTGAAGGCAGCTGAGTAGGGCAAAAGGGGAGAACCTGTCAGTGCTCTCTCCTGAAGGTCATGTGGCATCAGCTTGTACCAACAGAGCAGGGAATTTGGGTCTTTAGCTACCCTGGCATAGCAGGGGTTAAAGGGGATCTAAGAAACAGACTGTGCTATGTTAGCTGAAAAAGCCTGTCTGCCTCTGGGCTCTTCCTCCTTTGTTTGGAGGCTGCTGAAGGTGGCCATGATAGCAAAGGCTGGGCCTGTGGGCAAAGATGCAAATTGCTTTAGAGACCTTAGTAACTGCCCTTGTCTGTCAGACTGGATTCCAGCTCTTGTCCAAAATTGTGCTGGTGCCATTACCCAACCCATACCTCCCTCACCTAATTTTGTCCCTTAGCCTCTTGATGGCCACTGTAAATATTTGTGTCAATTTTTAGTATCGGTGAGAGATGTGCAGTGCTAAGTGATTAGCCAGCAGGTCCTTTTACTTGAAATTTAGGCTGTGTTTGAACTCTGTTGGAGACCCTGCCTGTGCCCTTTCATGGTTCCCCATACTGCTTTTCCACTTTCAGGCTCCCCTAGGGATGTTTTTTTTCCCACCATTCCTTGCTGAATTACACTTCTTGACTGGTATGCCTGCATACCTGTAAGGGGTCAGAGGCATTAAAGCATATCTGTAGAGCTAATTTTCCAGCCATGTTCTGGTTAAGAGAATATGACAGTATTCCATAGCTTCTAAATAGCTTCCTTGAATATATCTGGGGGCTGGGGGCTGGGTGATGTCTGGCTTTGCAGGACTCCTTTAAACACAAATCTCCAGATTTATTTTCTGGGTCAAGGTACTGAGAAAGTGAAATGTCAGGGAAGGAATGGTGGCTTAAGGAAAAGGAGTTGGATTTGGAATTTTCATTGGGGACCTTTGTGTGAGACTGAAGCATGACTTCTGCTTGAGCAGGCTGGATCTTCAACTACTGTCTGTCCAGCATCAGCCAGGGAGGGCTCATTGAGAACCTTGCTGTGGTGGTACACTCTCTCCCATGCCTGTCTCCAAGGCTATCCACCAGTGCTGGCACTGAGCATGGACAAGAAAACAGAGCTTTGGCACAAGTCTGGCGTTGCTGCTCGCTTGTGATCAAAGGCCTTCTCTGACTGGGAGAACGGGGCCTCAGAGCTAGCTCAAACTCTGCCCTGCTCTTCCCAGGAGCACCTGGGGTGTGAGTGCTTTGCTGCACAGCAGCCTGATTTGGGGCTGTGAACATGAAGAGTGATCAGGCAGTGACCCTTTCTGTTTCTTTTATTCCAGATCATGAGAATTAAACCCCATCAGAGTCAGCACATATCACACATGAGCTTCTTACAGCACAGTAAATGTGACTGCAGGTGAGAATGGAGCAGCACTGGTTCCTCTTGCAATAAAATTACTCGGAGCCTTTCTTTTTTTCTGCCATTGGGTTGGGACTCTTGTTCAGACGCTTCTGCAGCCTTCTTGGTTGGTTTGCAGTGGGATGGCTGAGACTGGGAAAATAAGCCCTCTGCTGTCAGGGCTCTTCCATCTCTAAGTATCACAGGTGGACAATGCTAGCCTGCATCCTGGGATCTTTATGGCACTAGCTACCAGCAAGGGTCAACAGGGGAGCAAAACCACTTGGAGATGAACCACTTAAACTGTGCCATGGGCATCCTGCAATTCTGCCTGTACATGTCCTTCCCTGGACTTGGTGGGAGCTGGGGACAATACAAGAAGTATATGTGATAAGCTCTCTTCTAATGAGGCCTTTATTCTGCCTTTCTCCACAGACCAAAGAAAGATGTCAAAAACAAACAAGAAAAGTAAGTGACGAGCCTTTCCTCCTTTCTCTTTTGGTGGTTGGTTGGCATTTCCTCTCCCCACTTCCCCTTGCCTTTTTCTTTGGTTGGATATACTCACTTTAAGGTGTTTTTGGAAATGGCATTGTTGTACTGCATGGGGCAATGCTCTGAATCCATTCCAGGTGGTCACAGAAACCCAGATCTGATGGTCCTTCCTTCATACCCCAGACACGGACCTTGCATGACCCATGGCCATGGTAGTCATTCCTAATGCTTTTTCCTAAGATAGGGAAGTCCCATTGTGTCTGTCCTGCTGGAATGGATTCAAGGTGCAGCCCCATTCTCCCCTTCCTTCTTCCTGGGGTGTTTCTGGTTACTGCAAATTGCTGCCTTTCTTTATTATTAATTTTTTTCTTGCTGCTTGAGTGAGTACTTGCTGGCTTCTTTCACAGCAGCTTTGGTAGGAACTCTGCTGGCTACAGGGAGAGGTGGAAGTAGAGGCCTGGTGGAGGCAGGACTGATGCCATGCAAGATGTGACACTGGTTTGATTGGGTGGGGACCTGGGAGAGTGTAAAGGGAGGTGGACATCCTAGTTGGGTCTTGGTGAAGGCTTTCTTGAGGGGTTTTTTGAATCTTATGGATTTGCTTTAGTGGCCTGAAGGAGGTTAAGTCACAACCTTCCCTTTACAAAGGTTGTGGAAAGTAGAAAAATAAGCTCTAATCCTGCAGTAGTTGCAGGGATGAGCATAAAATACAAAACAACTTTGAAAAGAAAGAATGATCTCTCTGAGCAAGAGGATCAGCTGGACTGCACATGACTGGAAAAGCACCTCTGCCATTTAGAGGTGTGGAGTTGGAGAGGAAGAAGTGAATACTTGGAGATGAGGCTGAATCTGAGACGAGGGAGCAAACAGGAGAGATAGAGCTTCTTTCACCCCTCTCCTGATGCTTGTATGTTTCTAGCTGCCTTCCAGCCTCTCCTCCTCCCCCTGGAAATCTGCTCCTGGCTGCATCAGACTGTGTGCAGCCAACAGTCCTGTCTGCACAGGGCCATGTCGGGGACGGTCGGTCTGTGTGGCTCTGTAGTTTGAAGGTGTGCAAGAGTTTGGTCTGTGTGAGCTCTGGTGAGGATGGGGTGTGGGTGTAGCAGCCAGCTCGGACTGTGTTGCATTCACTTTTCCTCTTCTAACAGCACCTTTTGCCTGCTCTTTGCTGGTTTTGCACTCCCCAGGGAAGGATGGGAAGGGATGGGAGAGACTGGTGTGCTTTGATTTGTGCCAGATTGAAAGTCTCGTTATATTGGTACCCCTCTCCTCCCTTCAGGTTGATTTTCTTCCCCTCACCGTCTCCCTGTCACTGACATGTAGGGCAGAACTGGGTTTGAGCTGGTGCTCTGACACTCGTTCCAGTGAGGTGACTTGAACAGGGCCTAGGAGACACCTACGGTGCTTTCTCTTCTGTTCCTCCAATTCCCTTTGACAGCTCTCTCCTGAAGTGGGCTGCACCAGGGAATGAAGGAGCCTTTGCTGAACTGCCTCAGAGCTGGGACTCATTTGCCTGACAAGCCCTGGTGCTTTGCCTAGGGCCTTCTCCTTGCATGTCTCTCCCTTGCTCCTGTGCTAATGTGGCTCAAGGAGCAGTACAGGTTCCAGCCTCCCTTGCGCCCTATGCTCTCAATGGACCATAGGGATCCATGGTTAGTGTCCAGGACTGTACTTCCGAGCCCCTGCCTGCTGAGCTCCTGCCCAAGAATCAGAGGCAACTGGTGAATTTTTCAGAATGGAGTCAGTACCTTGGCTCCATCTGGTTGTCTGTCTGGCAGATCCATGTGGACAGTGACAGAAGGGAAGAACTGAAAGCTGCTTGCTGATTATCTCCTGGGTAAAATAACTAGGTCAGGACATCCTCTTCCCCCTCTTTACTCTTCAGTACTCAGAATAGAGGATGCCAGAGGAACTGTTACAGACATCCAAGTAAGGTCTCCTGGAGTCCTCTGAACCACAGGCAGGAGGTGAGGTGGATGAGCAAAGCCTTCAGGTTGGATAGCCCTCTCCGAGATCAGATCTTTTCCCTTGTCTCTGGAGTGCTCCCATCCCAAGGCAGGATTGCCACCTGTCCTGCAGCAGAGCTATTGGAGCTCACCTGCCCCCTCCTAGGCCCAGTGCTGGGCAGTGTATCAGGTCAGAGTGGTTTCCTCTTCTCTGAAGAGAGCCCTTTCACTCAGGTTGCCTTTTGTCAGTTGTTGTGCACCTGTGCTTGTCACCTGGAATGATTGTCTGCACTCACCACGGTGGCATGATGCTTTCACAAAGCTTTCTGTTCCTCCTCCCTCTCACCCCCTGCCCCTTTCCCACTGCCCCTCTCTGGAGGGGGCAGGTGCCCCTCTGAGGTTCCAGCAGGTCCGCCTCTGCTCGCAGCAGCCTTGCAGAAGGTCTCTGCTGAGTTCCCTGGTGTTGGCTTGGCTGTGGGCAGGCTGGTTGCAGAGCTGACAGGAGCGCCGGAGCTGGTGAATGTACGTGCAAAGTGGAGATCTGTGCTTCAGCCCTGGGATTTACCCTCCAGTCCTGCCTCATGTGCTTCTCCCCTCCCAGCAAGGCACATGGCTGTATTTTTTTTTCTCTTCTTCCTTGCATTTTCTTCCGTTTTCTCTGTATCTCTCCCTTTCTTTCCCCCTCTCTCTCTTTCTCTTTTTTTTTTTTTTTTTTTTCTTCCAGAAAATCAAAGCGAGGAAGGGGGAAGGGTCAAAAGAGAAAGCGCAAGAAAGGCCGGTACAAACCACTCAGCTTGTACGTTTGTGTCCTCTGCTTGTAGACTCTCTTCCCTCCCTCTCCCCAAACCAATCTGCCTGCTTGCTGCTTGCTCAAATCTCACCCTCCCCTCCCAAGTCACTGGTGGGCTGCAGATCCTGCAGGGACAGCGCTGCTGGTGGCACTGCTCTGGCACTAAGGCTATCTTAGGGAAGGTGGCTTTAGCTTGCTTGGCTCTCTAATCATCAGTGGTGACCATTGTCCCAAGGCACAAGAGTGTGGTGGATGGATGAGTACCCTGCACCTCTTCACACTTTCCGGTTGCAGCTCTGTCATCTGCTTTCCACCACTTGTCTCGTGTCCTCACTGCTTTGATGACTGGTGACCGGCAGGCTGACATCTGCCATGCATGTGTGTGTGTGAGTGTGCGTGTGCACATGTGCGTGTGTGTCTGGTAGAGTCACAGGTGGAGAGGAGAGCTGGGACAGCGGGAGGCCAGAGAGGGGGTGCTGGGGAGCCACAGGGGCCTCTCTGTCTGTTTTTTTTTCTCTCTTTCTGCTGGATTTGGTGGCTTGTCTCTCCCTGTCTCTTTTGCTCTGCCTCTCTCATGGTGGTTCACAAAATTCTGCATTGTAAATTCATGGCCCCTCAATAGGAGACTCCTAGATGGCGAGGTTGGGATGAGGCTTACAGAAAGGAGGGCAGTGCCGACTGCAGGGGTCAGTATATGGTACTGGAGCCCAGCTGCTTTCCAGGGGAGGAGAGACCCTGTATATTTAACTCGTTTAGCCACTGGCCTCTTTCTACTCGAATAGTCCACTTCAGAGAACTCCTTTCACTGATGTGTCAATAGCTGGCTGGGACCTCTCACCTTCCCATCCTTGCTTTCCCCTTCTTCCTCCCTCTGGCCTGAGCCAATGGATCCAATGCAGCATTTGTGAATACTGTGCAGAAGGCCTGTTTTCTTTCTCTGCGCTAATGCAAAGGGTTGCTGTCCTGGGGGCTGTTGAGGTGCTGCTGGAAAATCCATCAGCCCATGGCAGTCCAGTTGGCAGCATGGGGGCTGTGGGAGGGGGCAAGGGGATTGCTTTGATGTTTAGGGTGTTGCATGTGTATTTTCTTTCTGCTGAAGCGCTGTAGCTTAGACATCTTTCCTTTTGCCTTTTTGCAGTCACTGTGAGCCTTGCTCAGAGAGGAGAAAGCACTTGTTTGTACAAGATCCCCAGACCTGTAAATGTTCCTGCAAGTTCACAGACTCACGTTGCAAGTCGAGGCAGCTTGAGTTAAACGAGCGCACTTGCAGGTTTGTGTCCTGAAGGATGAAACACACAAAGAGAAAGAGAGAGAAAGAGAAAGAGGGGGGGAGCTTGCTTCCTGCTGATTTCTGGCACCAGTGATATTTGATTACTTCTTTTCTCTGTCCTACGTGGGCCAGAGAGTAGAGGGGCTGACTGGGGCGAGGACGGTTTCCCTGTGTCAAACGGCAGCTGTTTGTTTCAGGTGTGCTCTCAGGACTTGGATGGGGATGGCTCCCAGGGACAGGCCCTTTGTATCTCAGGTATTCTTTACTATAGAATAGGATAGTGGAGTTCATGTTGCTGAGGTAGGCAGGGGGGGTCTGTATCCCTCTGTACCTTATCTGTACACAACTCTGAGCATACTGTTGGACAAAGACAAGTCCTTAACTGACTAGGATTTGGCCACCCCTGTCTTCAAGCCCTTTTTCTGTGGCTTGTAGATGCTCTGCTGTGTGCAGAATGAGGAAAGCCATTACGAGCCTCCCTCAAGGCTGAGCCTACGTTGTCCTTTGCCTCTGTTCTTCTAAAGGCCAGGGAGGGCACCCAGTGTTTTTGTACTGTTGTCACAGTTCCCTGTCCATGATCTGTTCAGAGTAGTGGTTTGAGAGGCTGCACTCAGGACTGTGAATGGAATATAGCAGGTTTAAGTCTGACCCTGGGTGAAGGCCAGGGTGGCTATTTCAGATGTGCCGTGGGAGACATAAAGGCACTGTGGGGTTAGTGTTAGTTCAGAGATCCATGCTGTGCATGTGTCGTCTGAGTGCTGTCACATACCATCTGTGGCACGGATATGTAAAGAAACTGATTCCTGGTTCTCACCTGAGCGCTTTGGTGAGCTCAGAGGGGTGTCTTGACTTGCAGAAGCTACATTTGCACCTCTGGTGTAGGATCATCCTACCTGTGTAGAGGGAGACATAGAAATAGGGTTGCTAATGAGCACTTGGCTGTGACTCTGAACTCAGATCCCTTTCACCGAGATCTAGGATTGTTCCTGTTTCTGTAGTATTGCAGTGGCAGTGGCTCAAGAGGAGAATACAAGGGAGAGAGATCCAGGGTCCTCTGTGGCTCTATCTTGAAAAGAGGAGACATCCATTGGCTAGGTGGCTACGGGTGTTACAAGTAGCAAGTGCTTCCTTTGGGTGTGAAAGTGCTTTGTGTCCAAGCCAGAGAGGCATTGGCACTACCAGCATGGTGGAAACTGCTCTGTATACAAAGAATTTTTCTGGGGTGCTGTAATCTCAGTGGGAAAGTAATTGATGGAGAGGCCAGAATAGAGTGACTTCCAGGGTTACATTTCCCCCAGCAAGCAAAGCCCCTGAAGTCTGAGACCATTCTTAATGTTGGCCTTTTCCCCCCTGCTCCTTTTCCCAAAGTCCAGAGTAACCAATAATTACCCCGCAGAGTTTGAAGGGCGAGAAATAGTAATAAATACAATGAAAAACAAAACAAATACCACAAAGAAGTCACGGTGGCAGAAGAGGTTTGCTAGTTTCTCTTACTAGTCCCTCTCTGTGGTGGAGTAATGGACACTAAGGGAGGTTTCCAGAGGCGATGTGTTGGCCAGAAAAATGGGAAAGAGTCATAGGAGTGGTTATCTTATCAATTTCCAGATAAAAAGCTGGTTAAGCTGAAGTTTCTCTTGCTCTTTCTTGTAGAATTAGTATTGGGACCTACAGGGGAGGGTAAATTCTCATTTCTCCTGCTGCTTCTTCAGGCCACTGCTGTTCTCTGGTGCTAACCCCCACTCACAGCAGCTAATGGAATGAAAAGCACTTATTTTCACCTTCTTGCATGAGGCTTTGTTGTCTGCACTGCTTCCAACCCAAACAAGAGGCTAGGTGGAGAGCCAAGGGTGTGTCTCTGCATGCATTGCTTAGCCTTGTTTTTCTGTGTTTGTGTGTATTTGTGTGTATGGTGTGCAAAGATGCAAACAAGACACTCAGCTTATCTGTGAGGAAGCTACTGATTCTGCTCCAAAATTTTGTTTGAGTATTCCCCCTGACCTGTCTAGGTGAGCCTGGGGGAATAGAATTAATTGACTCGTTTGTGGAGTCGAGATTCTCAGCTGATTTGCCCTATCTGCACAGCACTTCACCCCACCAGTGACGTCATGCCATGTCTTAACACCATGTGCTCTTAAACACATTAGCCACCACCCTTCCTTCCCTTCCCTGCCCTAACTGTACCCCCATCACAAACATTAACCCCTGCTCTCTTTTTTTCCTTCCTTCTCCTCTTTGATAGATGTGAAAAACCGAGACGGTGAGCAGCGGAAGAGAAGGGGAAACAGCCCTGTTTCTGGAGCCTGATTTCTCGCCTGGACAGAATAAAACAAAACAAAACACTAATCCAAATGAACCCTAAAAATGAAGGATCGGTAGAGCACAGCACTTTCAGTACGGACGATGGACTCCGGAAGGAACATTCCCCAAGGCACCCGCCGCACAGAATTCACCTTTGGGTTTTGAACTTTTTATTTTATTTTTCTTTTTATGCTGCTAAATAACAGAGCCAGGAAGACTTATAGGGGTGTATTTGATGGGTTTTCCCATGCATACATATATATGTGTGTATACATGCATATACATATATATATATGTATATATATTTTAACCACATCTATATATACATATATGTATATCTTAACCACACACACATATATATTATATATATATATATATACTGATTATTTTTTTTAACATTGCTAATGTTATTGGTGTCTTCACTGGATAATACTCAACTGCTGTGGACACAAGCGGGCTACTTGGGGCATAAGAAACAAGCTAAGACTGGACTTGAGTAGAAGCGCTGGGTGTAAACTTCTTAACTCTAATTGACTTGTGCGGCCTCCGCTGTTTCTCTGTAGAGTGTGCTGTACCACAAACCACCTTCTCCTTGCTTGGGACAGGGAGGAGAGGTGATGGAGAGGATGGGCAGGGAGTTCCAAAGAGCGGCATCCTAGGGTGCGATGGGTCAAAGGCCAAGGATATGGCCATCTCTGTGATCAAGGATTCCTCCTCCCCTCTCTTCCCCCAACCTTCGCCCTTACTCGTCTCATAACCTGCCTGCCTTGCTGGGACATGGGATGTCAGTGTACATTTTGCGTTGACTTTATTAGCTGTAGAACCTTTGCCAGAGAGACATGCTGGCTTCTTTTAAGGATGTTGGGCAGCTGATGCACACTGACTTTCTGTTCAAGGAGTTATCACAGGAGTCTAGATTTCCTGCCCTTGGTGGCTGCAGAGGACACAAGGTCTACAGTGTGCTGAAGCAAGAATGGGGACCGGTGCATAGCCACACAGTTGTTCAGCACTGTCTGCTTTCTTCATGCACAGAGCTGCCACTCAAGAGCATCCGAGATGCTTATGGAACATTTCTGGAAAGGGATATTAATCAGAAGTATATACACAGTAGTGGGGGTGTGTGTGTATGTATGTGAATGTATGCATTTGTGTGTATGTATGTATGTATGTATTTTTCTCTCTTTTTTATATATATATATTTATTTTTATACATATATATATATAAAAAATAATATATATGTATGCCAAGATTGAAGGGGGGAAATAAGAAAGAAACTTTTGCTGCCTTCAGTTTGCATGCCAAGTGTGAATGACCCTTAAGAACATCAAGGTTTTTTTTTTTTTTTAAATGACATACTGTAAATATCAGGCCCCTTTTCCATGTCATGGGATGGGGAATCAAATGTGAAGACAGCTGGAGTCCCTTAGCTGTTTTGTGAGGGAGGTTCTTGGCTATGTGTGTATCTGCAGTGTAGGCTGTGGTGTATGTGAAACCCACCTTACACACGTGCCCACACACACACACCCCTGAAAGTGTGTTTGTACATCTATGTGGATATATATAATCTAGTTCTGTGATTAAAATTATTATTATTAATAATAATAATCAAAAAGGTACTCGGTCTGTGTCAGAATGCTGCCAAACATCATCTGCAATTGAATTTTCAACGCCTGATAATGTACAACACGGAAAACTTCCAAAAAGACAAGACAGTCTAAAAACAGACTCACAACAAGCGACTACTAACCACTAGGATCTCCCCATCCGACTGATGGCTTTCAGAAGGAGAGAAAACACACGGATGGGTGCTTGCATCAGCAATGTAGAGTACTCATGTTGCATTGTGTGCAAGACAGAGGCTTCCGATCGGGGGAGGGAAGAGAAAGTGTTTTATATACTTATTTAATATCCCTTTTTAAATTAGAAATTAAACAGATAATTTAATTAGAGTAGGGATTTTTCAGTATTCTTTGTTAATATTTAATTTCAACTATTTATAAGCCGTACCTCCTTTATTTTTCTTTTTTT